AACACTCACAGGTGTGCCTTCTCACCTGTAGCAAGAAGAGAGAGAATTTTTTTTGCTAAAAGTGCTGTATTTTGCTTACCATCCTAGCAAAACAAGCAGTGAGGTAGCCACTTCCTGATCCTACATCTAATGCCTTCGCTCCTTCCACTAGCTGGTCCTTCAGTAACTCAAGAGCATGAGCATGCTGTAAAACAATCATTATACATAACATTACACATTTTTCACATAACTTATTTTCATAGTTTTTAGCTCAGTCTTTCCCTAGTTGGTATCTTCAAATGTGTTGAGTGACAATTTCCATTACATCAAACCACCAACTATGCTGGGCAGAGAAAGGAAAAGGTTGCAGTCTAATACATTTGGATGGCATCAAGGTGGAAATAATTCTTTTTACTATATTCTAGTACCATTTTTCTTTCATAAGAAGAAACAAGTTAATTCTTACCATCTTGGCCCTGGCAGACAGATTCTTATAGTATAGATGTAGTTTTATGAATGATCAAAGTAGAGGTTTATACTGATTTGTGTCATATACCTCAATGAGAGATGTACCAATGTGGAACACAAAATTGTCCAGAAGATGCAGATTAATGATGTATGTAAGATATAAAAAGGGTCTCATAATTCTGTGGTAGTGTACATGGATACTGCCTTAGGTCAAATCATCTGGCACTTTCTCTAGTTATAAGTCACAGATAAATAAAATTCCCTGTTCTACTACAAAGAATCTCATATAGCAATGCCATAGTAAGCTGCTTGGAAATAAACTGATAATTCAACGCTATAAAGCCTTACACTGGTGGTCTCTCTGCTTTACTGGATAAATATTTTTCAATGCAAGAATGTCTTCATATAATATTTAATATAAAAAATGTGACTTACCATGTGAGGTGCGCTGATAGTAGCCTTGAATCCTGAAATAAACCCATCAACAAGGTGCTAAGAACCATCATTCAAGCAACATTACAAACCCTTCATTTTCTCAATCCTTCCAGGCAATTAAAAGTGTAAGATGGTGAGCGATCTTTTAGTGCAAGTATAATAGTTTTTAAGAAGGTAAAGCTGCAAAGGGCAGGCTTTTTGTTTTTGCTTTCTCGGGTTTTTTACTGAAACATATGCAAGGGACTTTTAAAAAACTCTTTGAAGCCTAGTCCAGGGTACCCAACACCATTATATGATTTTTACTTCAAATTGGTAGAAAATCATACCACTGATCTTTAGATCTTTCAGAAACAACTCTGGAGCTGCCCAAAGTAGATTCAGGAACTTAATTCATTCCTGAATTAGGATTCTTATTTGAAGTCTTCATATTAACTTATGTTCCGGAGATGACCACTTGATTGCTAAAATATATAAAAAGTTACTGAAGATGAATCTGGAAGATGAATACATTGAAGATTGTATGATAAAATGGGCAAATATTTTTGGATATAACATAACAATAATAAATGGGAGAATGTATGGACTAATGGACTAAAATTTACATTAAATTATAATTGAAAGACAATATTTATAAAATGATGTATCATTGGTATTTGATCCCAGATAGACTAGCAAAAATGTATAAAGGGACTTCTAATAAGTGCTGGAAATGTAGTCAAAATCCAGGCTCATTTTATCATATGTGGTGGTCTTGCAAATATGTGAAAACATACTGGACAAGCATAACAATGACAAAATATTCAAGATACAAATATTAATGAAACCTGAAGCTTTTCTTTTAGGTATTATGGAGAAGCCAACTGAAAAACAATTTGGGGTGCTATTCCTTCACATGGTGACAGCTACGAGGATTGCACTTGCCAAGCACTGGAAAGAAACAGGGATGCTGACTGTTGAAGAATGGATTTAAAATTGACTGAATTAGCAGAGATGGTGAAATTAACTGCTTTGATCAGAGATAAAAAACTAGACAGCTTTATAAGCGACTGGAAACTGTGAACTTTCTGCACGCTAAATACAATAACAGATAGTTAATAGAATGATTTGAAGATTAGTATAATGTGGACTATTTTTCCTTTTTCTTCTATATACATATATTGTAAAAAGGGGGAAGAGAATTTGCTGTTTTTTCTTTTTTTTTTCAATGTCCAACCAGGGTGGATTCTATATGTTAAATATTAAATTTATTTGGTATTTGTCTTCTTTTGTACACCATTTTTAATTCTGTTGCTGTTAGTGCTGGACATATGTTTTTGTTTTGTTTGTTTTTCTGTTTTGTATTTTATCTTTTATGATAAAACAAAATAAATATACTTAATAAAAAGTTTTCATATTATCTTTATTACCTGTAGCTTGGATGAAACCATGCTTTTTAGTGGCCTGAGACAGACATGAAGTTCCAAGCATGAAAACAACATATGTGGTCTCTAATATATGCAATATTTATTTATTAACTGACAGTAGTCTGCAATCTTACCAATTGACTGAGGAGAATCCATATACGGAAAATAACTGGCATAGTGGGCTCTATCGGTAGCCAGCATCACAGCATGAACATGTTGGGATTTAATCACACCATTTTCTACAGGAACAGAGAAATGAATACTCATTATTATACAGTATAAAACTCATGTTTGTCACAAAATGGAGACCAACTTAGGGTAATACAGGTCAGATGTAGATCATATTCCTTGCTATATACTGTATCTTATGTTAGTTTCCACAAAAAGCTAAGAAAACTGAATTATCTTAGTTACAAATCAAACTAAGAACATAATTTAGTTTTCTTAGTTTCTTAGCTTCTTAACATCCATCAACTATGTGCCAAGGAATATGATCTATATTTGAAATCTAATACCCTACAAATATTACAATTCAGCTTCATGGATTTTTCCTCTATTTCATATTAGAACTAGCATAAAATTATTTTTGTATAGCCCTTAGATAACTGGAATTCATTATAAAACATAGTAACAAATTTCAACTGGGATCATTTAACCCTAATTAAATGTCAATGGATAATAAAGTTATCAGTATCATTATTCATAATAGTTATCTTCAACATTAATGATTTGGAAACATAGAAATGCATCCCACCGCCATCTATCTGGCTACTGTAAAGCAAAATAGGAAGCCTTTTTGCCTAATGTAGTTAGGAGTTTCTGTCCTTAAAAAAATGGTCAGTGAGAAAGAATCATATACCTTAGAATGGAAGTGGTGGATTGTCTATCATATAACCTTCTGAAATATATTTAACCTTTCAGTGTTATGCTGTTCCATTTGATGTAATTGTTAAAAGACATTCTTAACAGTCAAATTTACCATGCCATAGAATTGTTAATTATGAAAAATGTCCAGGTACTTCAGCACCTGTTTTAGAAGTCTGCCCTAAATGGAAACTGTTTGTACTCACTATGCAGATTGTTGATCAGTTCAGCATGTGTCTTCCCAGTTGAAGTCCAAGCCATGGTTCTTGTTGGCAGCAGTCCCATCAGCAAAACAGAAAAAGGCAGCGAACAGCTCATTGCACATAAATGTTCCCAATCCTTCCTAGCCATTCAGTGAGTTTTTTAAAAAAGGGAAGAAGCAAAAGTTGTTTAAATAAAACTTTGTAGAAACAAAATCATACATCAACCAGAAAGCAGCCGAGATTAAGAATAGATCCCCAGAGGAGTACATAAATAGAAAGAACACATTTGCTGCTCAAGTTCAGAGTAAGCAATTTTTCATGTTGCCAGAGGGAGACTGGCGATGAATTCAGAAGCTTGTTCACTTGTAAACCTTTGGTTGATCAGAACATAACAATCCAACTCTAAATTTTAGAATTTGCATCATTATAATAAAAGATCTTTAGCACCATTCCATTTCAGTAGGTATTGGGCAGTTTTATAAATGCAAACTTCACTATTTTTATTGCCAAGCAGCTCTGGAAGATAATTTGAAAGTTCTAGCTAGTCACCAACACAGATCCCTCCCCCCAAATTATTCTGTCTTTATACAGAAAGAATTCAGTTGCCTTTAACCTCAGCTTCCAAACTCTAATTATTTGATCTTCTTTGGAAACCAAGTTCCTGCTGGTACCCCTCTTCTGACAAAAGCATATGAGCTTTTTAACAGAGGTCTGTTAAGAGAAGCCCCTTCCAGGGCGAACTCTCCTTGGCATCTCCCTCTCCAAGAAACTTCCAACTGCTGCCTTTGACGATATCCTTTAGGCCAGAGTTGCTCAAACTTAGCAACTTTGACTTGGGTGGACTTCAACTCCCAGAATTCTGGGAAATGATAAATCCACCCATTTTAAAGTTATCCAACTTGAGGCTCGCTGCTTCAGGCCTTCTTTCCTGCATGCAAACGGGGGGGGGGGGGGGGCTGATTTTAGCACAGTGAATTCAAAACCATATGCGGAATCCGAAGCGGTGCTACGCTTGCCCACGATTAAGTCAACTTAGCTAGTCTTCCGCTTTCACACACCGCACACTGAACCAGACTACCCCTTCGCTGGTGGGTTCATAGCGGTTAGCACCTCTCAAAGCACCCACCAACCCGAAGTGACAGGGAGGATTCCTCTGTGCAAACGCGGTAAACCTAGCGTCACGTTCCTAGCCCTTTCAGTTTGTTTATAACACTAGAAAGGAGAAGAAGCTACGGTTCGGGTCCCCGGAGCTCCATAAAACGCAGTTAACGCAAACGCCCAAAGAAATGCCCGGTTCCAAGATGCCGCCTTCAACTACACGGCTTCATTACTTTAAAGAGATAGACGAAAAGGATGGCGTTTGCCACTTCCGTTGCTCTTAGGCGTCTCCATATGCGGGCTGAGGGCTCTGAAGCAAAAAAAACAAACGACGTGAAACTCCTTAGCGAGACGTTTCCTTCTGGTCTTTTCCTAAGCTCCGTATTTATTTCCTGGATGAATATACTCTCTTCTTACCCTGTGGGGAAATAGCGCTCGAATGTAGTGTCTCCCACCCCGCCCCTCAAAACTTTCTTTGAGGTCTTGTCTTTCTAAGCACTCCTGCCCCGCACATGGGCGACGCCACAACGAGCTATACGGAACCGGAAGTTACATAGGAATCCCAATCGACCGCGATCCATCTTTAATCTTTGGGGGATCGATGGTTTTTGTTTAGCTGGGTCTCCGTTCTCTTCGCCAATTGGCCAGCGTGGAGGCGAGAGGGATCCGCTCGCTCAGTTTCTCCTCTTGGCGGGTTTTGACTCGCGGGCAGGTTTACGCATCCAGGTAAGGAAGAGTCGGAGCCGCCGATCAAGTCGGTGGGGGTGGCGGAATGGGGAAAAACGGTGCAGAACGGGAGGGATCCCCCCAGCGATCCCCTGGGAAGATCCTTGTCGAAGGCCTTCCGTTTCTGTCTCTCGAGGTTGGCGCATCAGTGCTGTTTTGGCAATGCACCTCTCTTGGGAGGTGGGCTACGCGGTGTGTCTGTATCATGGTGTTTTGTTTTGTTTTTAATTGCCCAAGTCATTCAAGAGCTCTAGTTTTCAAAGCCATTTTTTTTTTAAACCGAAAGCCTTTTTTCCCCCAGCAATATTTTCTCCAGGATAGCAATACAGTCTCTCCAGCTGTTCTGGATCGCAGTACTTGGGCATTCCCGGTCAGTGTGTTTGGGGTTTTTGAATGGCTTCAACGCATCTGGATGACAGTAGCTTGGAAAATAGGTGACGGGGGGGGCACCCCTCAACACTGTTAGGAGTGAATTGCACAGCAGGACCAAATTCCCGAGGGAGGCGGTGAACTCCTCTTTCTTGGGGATGTTCAGGTGGGTGAATGGAGCCATCTGCTGGGGATCTCCAAATTGGATTTCCGCATGGAACAGAAGCTGAAATCGGTGGCTTAAAAAAGGTCCCTTCCAATTTTATAGCAGCATTATCACTGAGTACTCCAAACTTTCCTAAATTTTCATTTGAAAGCATTTAACAGTTTGCCGCAGTTTGTAATTATATGTTCTATAATAAGCTGGCATTTGATTTTGTCACAGTCTGTGACATAAGCGCACCAATGTGCCTACCGTCCCTGTCCTATTGTTTCTCTTATTCTTTTATTTTTCTTATATGTACCCATTTCATGTATTCACAACTATGTATACGCTTATACTTATTATCTTGTAAACAATTGGCAAATCAAATAAATAAATAAATAAAAATAAATACATCACAGCAGAGATTTGCCTTGGAAGTCTCTGGTGCAGTGTTTCTCAACCATAGCAACTTTAAGGTGTGTGGACTGGGG